TATTGGTTTTGAAAAATCATTTTTTTTTTGATAAAACAAGCAGGCAAGAAACGAAAATATAAAATTAAAATTAAACATTTTTTTGTCAATCAATAATAATAAAAAAGCCAAAACGGGGACGACCAAACATTGGTCGCTAAAACTCGAGAACGGCTGAACGGATTTAACTTATCTTAGTCTTGAAATGTTCGTGGAGGTCCAGGGAAGGTTTAAGAAATGAGAAAATATCGAAAACCGCGAAAGATTTGCAAACACATATTATGAAGCATATCTGCATTTCCACGACTTTAGCATTGAGCTATTTTTATTGCACCACCTCATAGTTGTTATTGTTATTTTGGGCGAAAAGCGTATCATTCTTTAAGGCTTTGTCAATTATTGAAAATTTTCAAAAAAAAAAAAAAAAAAATTGGATTGACATTATATTGAAAATATTTTATGTGAGAATACAACAAATAATAGAAAAATATATCATTGAATGTACACGCGATCATTGCATGTACACGTAGAAATCACGATTTTGGGACAAATGCATGGATGGAAACTCAGAAGACATTCTGAATCGAGTTCGTGTCCATTCAGGGTATTCGGATTTTAAGATCCAAGCCATAGATTAATAATAATAATAGGAGCATGCTTTTTGTTTTCCAATATATTTGAACATACAAACAGAACACCTCGCATATATCCGATACCAAAAATGTGTATCACAAAGAAAACTAATATATGATATATTTTATTTGCTAAAATTTATCATTAAGCTCAGCTGGAAAGAGAACAATGAACCAAAAATCAGAAAATTAGAAAAAAATAGCCAAGCCATGGTATCTAATTTGAAGGTTATACCAAAACCTCCGTCCGATGTTAATTATTCGTATTGAACATGCCAAATACCGACAACACTCAGGTTGGAAAACGGTGGTAAGAACTTCAATATACCGAAAATTGAACGGGAAATAGTTATGGCATCTTTTCAAGACGTTTAGTTATAGTGCGTAATTTCTGCATAATTTCCTTTAAACCTAATTATACCAGGGATGCAAAAGTTGGTACAATTGTACTAATTTTAGCACTATTTGGAAGTCAAAAATACAATAGCACCCCAATAACATATTTAGCACGATTTCTAAATTATATCAAACTATTCTCAGTTAAAAGTATTATAAGTGCTTAAACATAAAATATGAAATTGATCGCCATCCCCTGCTGTCGTTTCGAATGGATGAATTTGCCATAGTTTAAACGTAGTGTCCTATGCCAATTCAGAATTCAGTATTTCCGATCAGAATGATAAATTCAGTAAAGATATTAATTATTATTTTTGTAACAGTTCTATGAGAGATATGATTTTTCATTGTTTCAGGAATATTTCGGTACTGATATTTCTGTTGTTTTTAAATACTCACCGAGTTGGCTTTCACGTCAAGAAGTTATTGAAACAATTTTGGCGCAGTGGGAATCACTTCAATATTATTGTAATAATGATTTCGAAGCTGATTCCCAAAAGTTAAGGCTCAATTCTATTATTTCAGAATTTTCAAACCCTTTTTATACCCTTCACCACACTGTGATACAGGGTATTAGGTCTTTGTGCATATGTTTGTAACAGGCAAAAGGAATCGAAATAGATCAATGGCTCCTTCTGAAAATATGCATAGAATCACTTTTTGAGTCGATTTATGAATTTCAGTCCACCCGTCAATGTATCTTTGTGAACAAAGTACAGGTCGTATTTATTTTCTGATAAGAATGAAATTTGGCACAGGTCACTTATTTGGCCCAAGGACGAACCCTATTGAAATTGGGGAAAATCGGTTCAGATTTAGATATAGCTCCCATATATAGTTTCGTCCGATTTTATGTAAATGGTGCACCAAACTCCCAATATTTTTCCGATTGAGACAACATTTTGCACGGAGTACTGAATTACGTCTAGACTGATACACGCCAAGTTTTATTGAAATCGGTTCAGAATTAGATATAGCTCCCATATATAGTTTCGTCCGATTTTATGTGAACGGCGCACCAAAATCCCAATATCTGTCCGATTGAGAAAACAAATTGCACAGAGTACTGAATTAGGTCTATACTAATGTGTGCCAAGTTTTATTGACTTATTTATTAGCAGATTGTATTAAATTGAGTTTTGAGTCATGTGTTTTAAAAAACTCTGTTTGGAGAAAAACGCGTATAAAGTTTGAGAAGCCCTCTTGCCGTCACTTGATGCTAACACAATAAATCTGCTATATCTTAAAAAAATTGTTGAGATTTTCACTTGAAAATTTATAGGGACATTCTTGAATTAGTGTAGGTTCGAATTAAATCAAAATACAAAACTAAGTTTTTTGAAACCGAGAATGAGGATGCATGTAGAAAGTTTTAAGTCTTTCAAAAACGACAATATATGCATTTGTTGGTCAATGGTGACTGAAGTCTAAAATTTACGAAACGAGGATATGATTCCTTATATCACAAATTTTTAGAGGGTAATTATATATTCCACTTTCATCTACAAATGTGGAAAGGGTATTTTCATATCAAAATATAATTAAAACCAAAGAAAGGAACAGAATACATGCTTCGACTGCTTCAAATCTTAATTAATTTTTTTATGTGTGTTTTTATTAATTGTTAATAACAACAAACATTTTATTTAAAAATATATGAAAAGTACAATCGGACTGAAAAAAGTACACTTTTTATTGAAAGCCAGTACAATTTGAATAATTTCATTTCGCATCCCTGAATTATACCCAACTCTATGCGAAAATTCGGTCAATATCTTTATAATACCGAAAATGGGGCAAAACCTGTATGTATTGCTATATCAAGACATGGACCTAAATAGATAATTATTCGCAAACCATGGGTCCCGGAAACGTGGACCGAGATTTGCAAACATATTTTGTACTCACTGATCATCTAAAATACCAAACCCCCCAAAATAGAAGAGAGGACCAATATTTACAATTTTTAGTAGGATTCATGCTACCAAATAAAACAACCAATTACAGTAAAAGCAATAGGGCTGCTACAACAACAACAACCAATTACAGCTGATTACGATGAAAATCGTGCACAAATCCCCAATGGATCGTATAATGTGGAGTGCCATTATATGGAGGCTTTTCGGAAGCTTGGTCAAATTTTGTTAGGAACAGTTTCTACTCAATGATCATTCAAAATATAAAATTACAGCCAAATACCGAAAATTGAGGGATTACCCGGATTAATAGCAATTCTGTTGAAACCCGTGGCCAAGATCTTCAAATACGGTATGTTTAGGGCTACCATTATATTTTGGCGGTACCCACCCATGTGCCAATGTTGATAATATTTGGTACTCAATTGCAATCAATTGTGTTGAAAAAAATCAAGATTTCTCATATTGCGAGGTACCGATATATGGGGGCTACCCTAAATAGTGAACAAATATTGAACATGTTCAATACCAAATATCCTAGGAGTAGCAGCAATGTATGTGCAAATCGTGAGGGTATCTATCTCAAATCGTAGAGGTTAGAAAAAGCTAACTTAATAGTGGGCTATCGTTATGTGAATTATACATCAACAATATTGCTATTCAAGACAACGTTTACCGGGCCCGCTAGTTTACAAATAGTTTTAACATTATTTATGATACGTGAAGTAGTTTTATCTTTTTTAAGCAAAAGTTAATTGTGTTTTGGATTTTTTTGCTAACTTATATTTACAAATAGTTTTAATATTATTTATGGTACGTGGAGTAGTTTTATCTTTTAAGGTAAAGTTAATTTGTACGATGAACAGTCGAATTCGGATAAGCGAACGCCGGTTTATCGAAAAAATCGGTTAATTAAAACTAAAAATTTTCAAACACTCTACTTCGCTTAAAAGAAAAATCTGTTAATTGAAAATCTGTATATGAGAAGGACTTTTTTGTTGCAAAAACACAATTATATATGAAACGAGCACCGTTTAAGAGAAAAAAACATCATTTTTGTAAATTTTAATTTCAGTAGTGTTGGCGGTTTATTTGGGATACCATTTGTAATTTGTTTTTGCAAAAGAAAAATCTGTTAATTGAAAATTTTTTTTGTTGCAAAAACACAATTTCATTTTTGTAAATTTTAATTTCAGTAGTGTTGGCGGTTTATTTGGGATACCATTTGTAATTTGTTTTTGCAAAATTTTAATTTTTTAAAATTTTTATGTGCAACTCTAAAATTATGTTGCACATTTTTCCAACCATCCAAGAAAATGTCAACGAAAACAAATAAGTTCTTACTCAATTCATTTCATAATATGATTTATAAAATTCACGATTTTTCAGATATTGATTGAAAATTTCGTTTAAGCGCAACGAGTTTCGATTATCCGAAGTTCTTTTAATTGAAAATTCTGTTTGAGAAAAAAACTGAAATTAGGCGTTTTCGCTTAACCGAATTCGACTGTATATTCTGTTCGTTCATGGGCTTGATAGCCTTGGATTACATGTGAAATAAATGAAATGATATATATATATATATATATATATATACTAACAAAAAAATATTGAAAATTGACTTTTTGAATGAATATTGTGAATGTCAATAAACTACATGTGTTGACAAAGTTTTACACGTCTGCGGTCAAAAAAGGAGCTTCTATTAACAAAAACAAAAAGGCGTAACTAACAAAAAATTCAAATTTTTACTTAATTGTTATGACTGCTATTAAACAAAATGACTAAATTTGTTTAAAAAAATTATAGTATATTAATATATATATATATATATTAAAAGTGAACTTAGAAAAATCTTCACTTTTTTGCTTCTCCTTTACGCCTTTTTGTAATCAGCAGACCAAAACCAACCTGTGGTAATTTCAGATCGGTCTAATATTGCTTTATTATATTTTATTTTTAGGTTCATCCTCCAGGTGGTGTATCACAGCCCATTGCAGGCGTAGGCGCAGGCGCCGGTGCCGGCCCATCTGCTTGGGGACAGCGTCCGGTAGGTGCTGCTCGTGGTAGTTCCGTGATGAAAGCTGCAATACCAACGTCCAATCTTCAACAACGACCGCCAGCACCAGCTGCTTTAGGACGAGCTACGACTCATAGAGATGTTAATGTGGCGGAAGCTCCAGCCGGAGGTAAGTACATTTAACATATATAGTCTTACTTAGCTGTCTAGTGGCAGAATCCATATGCCGAGCTTATAAAAGATTTCCAGGCGTGTTGGTCTTTTGCGCAGTTTTTCCAATTTGAAAGACCATTTTCGGCGATGTTGTCTTCGACTTAATCTTTCCAACGTATTCTTGCCTTTCCCCTTCTGCGTGAACGATCAGCTGGTTCGCTTTTATATGCCTTCTGGGCTGGGGCATCTTCATCCATTCTCACAACATGACCTAGCCAACGTAGTCGCTGCAGCTCAATACGTCTAACAATGTCGATGTCCGAGAATAGCTGGCACAACTCATGGTTTATCCGACGGCGATATTCACCTTCAACGTAGATCGGCCATAGATTTTTCGTAGAATTTTTCTCTCAAACACTACAAGAGCTGCCTCATCTGCCTGCGTAAGTACCCATGCTTCAGATCCGTATAACAGCACGGAAGTATCAGCGTCTTGTAGAGTGTGAGTTTGGTCTGGCGGGAGGTGGCCTTGCTTTTAAGTTGTTTGCTCAGACCATAGTAGCATCGGTTGGCCATCATTATCCTTCTCCGAATTTCAAAACTGATGTCATTCGTTTTATTTATGGCGGTACCAAGTTATATTAAATCGCTGACTACCTCGAAGCTGTATTTCTCAAGTTCCACAGTTGGCCCGAGTCTACTGGACGTCTTGCGCGTTGATACTATCAGCTTGGTCTTCTCGCCGTTTACTGCCAGGCCCACTTTGGCAGACTCCTCAATTTGTTCAAAGGTGGCTGTTACCGCTCTCAATGTTCGACCCATTATGTCGATGTCATCGACGTAGGCGGGTAACATGTGTTTTTTGATGTACAGAGTTCCATTTCTGTTCAGTTTTGCCTCTCGTATGACCTTTTCCAGCAGGATATTAAAAAGGTCAAGGTGATCGTTTGTCGTTATCACCTTGTCTGAATCCTTGTTAGGTATTAAAGGGCTCTGAGAGGTCCTTTCCGACTTTAACTGCTGATCTTGTGCCTGTTAAAGTTATCCTGCATAGCCGAATTAATTTTGCAGGAATGCCAAACGCAGACATGGCTTTATACACCTCTGAACGGATAGGGCTGTCGAATGCGGCTTTATAGTCGACGAGTAGGTGGAATGTGTCGATGTTGTTTTCGTGTGTTTTTTCCAGGATTTGGCGCAGAGTGAAAATCTAGTCAATGGTGGATTTGCCAGGTCTGAAGCCACATTAGTATGGGTCCAATAATGTCATTGACCATTGGCTTCAGTCGTTCACACAGTACGCTGGATAGCACACATCGTTTTGTCTCCTTTTTTTGTGCACGGGGCACAGGATGCTGAGGTTCCAATCATTGGGCATGCATTCTTCTAGCCAAATTGTACTAATCAGCTGGTGCATGCTCATTACCAGCATCTGACCACTAGTCTTGAATAGTTCGGCTTGTAACCCATCGGCACCTGCTGCTTTATTATTCTTCAGTCGATTGATTGCTATTCTGACTTCATCTTGGCTATATAGTCAACGCTATAACGGTATAACGAATGCTTTCTTGTCAGGCTCATTTGTAAAAGCGAAAGATTTTATTATATATACATATATATATATATATATATATAGGTAGTGTATTGAATAATCGTGACACTCTTAGAAGAAATTATCTATCCATGTGAACATCCAATCTTGGAATTGTTAGATTAATGTTTCAAGATTCACTAGAAAAATAAAAAGATGTAGACAAAAAAAGGAACATTGAAATTTGGATCCTTTATAGAATTAGGAAAGGCATCGGATATTCACAAATGTTGGAAATGAAGATCATATAAACGATGGACGAAACATTTCTTTTTTTAGCATAAATATATCTAACGACAGTAATGTTGGCGGTTTTTGAGATACACGTTTTTTTTATAAAAACCATATTAGTGGGGAAAGTACTGCATTGTCCACCCATCAAGGGGTAAAACACGGAAGACTATAGTTTCGGATCTTGCCATTGCTCCTCATCAGTTCCCTTATATATCTTCTTCTTCTTCTTTACAAATAAAAAACCCTTTTATAACAAATCGAAGTACTAAGCTAACTAACGATATATACTGAATGAGAATTTCGCAGGTGTCTCACTTCGTGGTTAACAAGACATTTTTATATATCAAACTATTTTGAACAGCCGCCAACAACCCTTTTTTGCAGAATCGGTGGTCTGCAATGATAATTCGCCATATTAGGTAACTACCTAAATTTCGACGTGGCATAATTATCATGACAATTTTTTCATAATTTTACTTTTTCAATTCAATTTATTAAAAAAACTCCTCATTGGGTTACAAATTCATAGAAGGCGTGTAATAAAGTATCTTATAAAATTACAAACTAAAAATTCACTAACGCACATTTTTCTAATTCTTACATATATGCTTAACAAACCGTAATGTTAATTTGTGAGATATCAACTCGATGCTGTAAGCGAGCCAGATATATAATTCTTTTATTCCAAAGAACAAAAATATTGCAGCAATTTAATTTTAAAATTATGTTTTGAGATTGAGAAATTTTTCAATCCAAGGGGAAGCTGGCCACAACCTACCAATGCGAACGGCAAAAGAACGTTCCAGGACCAGACTTTCAATGTGTTCAAAAAGAATTTGAGAATTACTGTTAGAGTGCAAAAATCGGAAATTATCAGCAATATTGGTAGGTATACCATATTTCATGGTTTAAAAAAAAATTATAAGCATCGAACATGGAAGTAGTCATCAAAAGAACTTCCAAGAAACTCTTTTTCATAAAGATTATGGTCACGATTACAGTGTTTCCCATAAACGTATTTTAAAACACTATGAAAACAACTACGTAACCTGTGTAAGTGGGTGCTATCAGTGCCAGAATAAACCTCCATTCCATATAGAAAAACAGACATTAATAAAGCATGACCAAGTTTGTATTTAATGCGGAATGGTAAAAAAATGCAACCATTTATGTCAAGACATGGACTAGACATAAACAACCCGAAATCGTCCGCATATATATTCAAAGAAGAATGCTGAACACATTCACAAACATCATTAACGTATAACATAAAAAGGAGTGGACCTAAAATTAAGCTCTGTGGAACACCTGACGAAATATCGCAAACGCAGGAAGAATTATCGTCGTATACAATTTTTTGAGAGCGGTTGGAGAGGATTGAAGACACAAGATTGCAAGATGGTAGAGAAAAATTAAAAAGATTAAATAGCTTGGAGCGGAGAATGCAGTGATTGATAGAATCAAAAGCTTTAGAAAGGTCTAAAATGCCTAATATACTAGGAAACTTTTTATCAAACAAGCGACGAACGTCATCAGTTAGTCAAGGCATGAGATTGTGCTGTATGTTTTCTAAAACCTGATTGACAAACATTAACCAAAGAATATTCATCCAGGTGTTCCAAAATTTGGTTTTTGAGCAAAACTTCGTGAACCTTTGACAGTGCCGGTAGAATTGAGATTGTGCGATAATCGGCACAGTTTAATCCAGTAGCGCATTTTTTCAGTAAAGGATGCACTTTGGCTACCTTCCAAGCAGACGGAAATGTACTAGTTGTAATAATGGTGTTAAAAAGGTGTAAAAAATTATGTTGCAAAAAAGGAAACACAAGCTTAAGGAAACGTAACGGATACATTGCACTAGTGAGCTCAAATATGTCGACATTGCGAAAATTGTAAATATTAGAACGAGGCATAGTCATAGAAGTGTTATCAGAAATAGTAATATTAGCACCATTATTGGAGATAAAAAAAAATATTTAAATGATCTAAATCTATATCACAGTTTGTCGCTCCACAATCAGAAATCCTAGTCCACAAAATACGAGGATTATCAATACCACTAAATATACTTTTACCAAATTGACGCTTGGCTTGTCGAACAACTTTACAAGCAATATTTTTATATTTCTTATACACCTGTTTATTGTAATCAGTAGAATTCTCAATAAAGGCACTAAAAGCTAAGTCCCTATTTCTGATAGCAGAAAGAACTTCTGGCCGACTGAACCATCGATTTGAATTTGTTCTACTCTTGTTTTTTCAGGTACATGAGTTTCAAAAAGATATTGCAAAGTGTTATTCAAATAGTTTAGCTGCAAATCAGAACTGTTCGTATTGTACAAAAAAGAGAAGTTAATAGAATTTATGTCAGATATTAAGTTATCACAAATTATTGAATTGTAATCACGAAATGCTACATATTGTCTTTCATTGATTGTACGTAGTTTGTACTGCAAAAGGGCAAACGCGTGATTGGAAATAAGCGTAAGGAAATTGAACTGACTACTCTTAGAAATTGCGCAAGCATCACTTACTAATGCATAGTCAATGAGCGAATATGAATTCCAATGAAGATCAATATGAGTGGGTTTATTATTGTGTACAACCGACAAATTACACCTGGAAAGGAGATTTGAAAGGTAGTCAAAGTTTCTACGAACAGAAATATCGAAATTGAAATCACCAACAATAACAATATCTTTATATCTAGTATATATATCAACAAGTTCAGATTCCAAAGAATTAATATAACCAGTGGGCAAGTATACAACACCAATAATCAAGCTTGATGTACCTGAACTTACATGAAGAAACTGAGCTTCACATACACCAGGTTTTGATATCTTTGAAACAATTTTAGTTTTCACAGTCGAAGAAATATATAATGCGACGCCTCCTCCACGACGACCTACACGATCATTACGAAATATCTTTCTTCTTGCCATATATTTTTTCATAACTTCATCCCGTTTTAATATAGAGCAAAATTTTATTAGAAGAGTTTTTTTTTTGTTTTCCCCAGCCAAAAACAAGCGCTTATATCGCTTTCGCCCAATGATACTCCAAGAACTTGGGGTATTTTAACGGAGATAACAACAGGCTCCACAGTTGTTGGCAAGCCGCTCACTAAAATATCACTGCGGCAAAGCTGGTGTCGGACTTTGTGATTATCTTTGCTCAATTGTCCTATTCTTTTCTCGACTTGATTTTGATATTTTTCGCATTTGTTTTTTTGTCGTTCAACAAGTTCCTTCAATGTTATTATACAGCTGTCAATTTCATTTTTCACGGTAAGCGGTATAGATGCGATTAATTGTTCAACTTTTTTGGTTAACTTATCGATACTATCCCAGATTTTTGCAGAACTAGTGTCTCGATTAGGGCATGAACATGACCCACACTTCCAGAAAATTGAGCCACTATTTTTTATAAGGAGATCATACGAGCTTTCATTTAAATTAGTACATTTATCTCTATGGTACCAATTTTCACTGACATAACAAAAACTTATGCAGCTTTTTGTTATTTTGCCATTACACATAGGGCAAACATATGACTTTGTTTTTGTAGGCGCCATGACAAAAGAAGCATAACAAAAAACAAACAGCAAACGGCAGCAGACGAATATTTATTTTAATTCTCCAATCGTTGTAAGGCACAAATGTAGTAATTCGCTTTTTTATAATTTTAATTAAAAAAATTACTCCACCATACTCGACAGAGTTACCAGCTTTCAAAATTTAAATGAAAATATCCTCCTTCGAAATGTACGCACAACACGTGTTAAGTGGCAATAATTACAAAATGTTTATTATATTGAAGTTTCCAGCCTCTATAATCTATAAATATAATTTGTAACATCTATAATCTTAAGAGCAATATTAATAAAAAATTGAAATATTTATTTACAGAAAATAAACTTTATTTCTTTTTTAAATATGCCATTCGACATGCATAAAATGTTATGGAATTTATTTTTCAAACAATTTGAAATTGATAGATGAGTTCCAAATAAAAAAGGGTTGCGATTATTAATTTCTTAAATGAGACTACCTTCTGTAATTATGCTCTTTACCTTTACACCTTGCCTTTACAAAAAATGTCAGGTTCATCAAAGAAAGAGAGAAGCAGCTTAACACATTAAAGACAGCTCACGAGTTCTCTCGTGTTTCGCGTTCCATCTGTTACGGACTGCTCACGAGTTCTCTCGTGTTTCACGTTTCGTCTGTTACGGATGGACAAGCTACAAAAAACTGTATAAATGCACAAATACTACTTATTTCCGAACTGAATATATGTTTTTCTGTTTATCCACAACTATGATTTAGTCGTTGTCGAGTGTGCTTCCTTCTGTTTTATTCATACTGCTTCCAAGCCTATTCTGATAAAGTCATTAGTTCTATTAATATTACGGTTTTTGATCTTTTGAACATGTTAAATGTAAAAAAGTTTATTATTTTGTCATCAGAAGTACGTACCTAACTAAGGAGGAAATACAAATTATAATTATATTTACAATGAAGGTACAGCAAGAAAAAAAAAATGTGAACATATAGGTGCACGGTAGAAGTGCACAGGAAGGGTAATATTCCTTATTACGCCATAGAATTCAAAATATTTTGACAAAAAATGTACAAATGAGCTGGCCTTACTGGATGGTCTAATAATATATAGATCTTGCATTTGTTTTAATTTATTCCGCCATTATAGGTCTATGTTGAAAATGATGCCCTACCTTGTATAATTGTACCATGAGTACAACAGCAATAGTTATAAATAATTGCTTAACTTATTGTAGAACGTAAATGCTGCTATATTTGAAAATAAATTTGTAATTTAATCGTAAATATTTTACTTTAAGCTGTCGGCAAGGAAGATAACCGTGGCGCAGTGCGTGGAAAACGAGTTATAACTGAAATTGTACATTCTCGACCACAAGGCCTTGCTACAAAGTCGGGCCAAACCGGAGCTAAAGTTCCTGTTCAAGCAAACTATTTCCGAATACTTAAGAAACCAAAATGGTCCATTCATCAATATCGTGTCGATTTCAGACCAGATGTGGACATGGTTCGTTTGAGACGTGCCTACTTAGGTAGTCACAAAGAACTCTTTGGTGGCTACATATTCGATGGAACTGTTCTATTTTGCACAAACTACTTTATTGATCCATCTGAAAATGGACAAAAAGAACTCTTGACTAAAAATCGCGAGGGTGAAACCATTCAAATCAAATTAAAACATGTTGGCATTGTCGATGTTACGGACGTCCAACTGTTACAAGTACTCAACTTGATTTTGCGTCGATCTATGGAAGGTTTGAAATTGCAGTTGGTAGGACGAAATTTCTTTGATCCAGGTGCCAAGGTAATAATATACTATTCAAAATTTAGCCGCTCAGTGCACACAACGATTAATTCCGCTTTTATGATATGTTTGAATTCATATTAACAGAAGATTTAAAAAAAAAAAAACAATAGACAACAAACATCGTCGCGAATCACGACTTTCCTGTTCATGGAGTTAATCGATGTGTGCACTGAGCGGCTGTATTGGGGCTTGTGGCTGAACTAGTAAATAATCAATTTACTTATAGATAAATATGGACAGTTATCGTATGGAAATTTGGCCCGGATATCTAACGTCTATACGCCAACACGAGCAGGATATATTGTTGTGCTGTGAAATAACGCATAAGGTAATGCGCACAGCCACTGTTTACAGTATTTTGACTGATTGTCTAAGAGATAGCGCAGATTATCAAACGTCATTTAAGCAACAAGTGGTTGGTAAGTAGCGCACAGTAACTCCAGAAATGTGATGTTTTTAAAATAGGTTTTAACGGTAACTTTAGGTACTGTTGTTCTCACTGACTACAATAACAAAACGTATCGCATAGATGATGTTGATTTTCAATCCTCGCCCATGTCTAAGTTTTCCACCAAAGATGGAGAAATTTCCTACATGCAATACTATAAACAGGTACATGTTTTAAAAAGCACAATAACAAGACAGATTGGATTTTAATATGCTCTTATATATATCTAGCGTTATAATATACAAATACGAGACCAGAAACAACCAATGCTTGTATCACGTCCGACAGAAAGAAATATTCGCGGTGGTCAAGATGAATTTATTATGCTCATACCAGAAATATGTCGTGCTACTGGTATAACAGATGCAATGCGAAGCGATTTCAGGTAAATATATAATAATTGTATATTACAATTTTTAATTTTACTACCATACCATAATGTGGTAAGTACACTTAGCATATTTCGGCTGGGAACTTTTTGAATTATTTCGAATGCTAAGTAGACTTAGCATATTACAGCACGGACTTTTTTTATGACGAGTTCGCTATGTATACTTGGCATTGTCGATATTTTATTTTTGGTGTTTCTAAGTACACTTATACCATAGACAGACGACAGTCTTAATTTGCATTAAAAAGTTCTTAATTTGAATTAAAATTTACCCCTGACAGACGAGAGTTTCTGCATTTATGAACCAGTTTTTTCTTTCAAAACTATTGTTTGTCTGTGTGTAGGAAGAAAATATTGACATTTGTTTACAATACTTTTTAGGATTACATCTTTTTGAAATTGATACATGACAGGAAGGAAAAGTAACAGCTATAGTGAAGATAAAACAGCTCCAAATTTGAAGAAATGTTGAATTTTGCCTTTATTTCTAATTTTTATTTTCGTAAACGTAAACAAATTTGACAACAATCAATTTATTTTCTACAGCATTACCATATTGAAATTGCTTAATTCAGTATAAATTCAGTTTGATTTTGTGCATTAACAACACATAAAAATGAGGATAATGTACAAGTTAATTTGAATTAAGGCTGTTAATGCAAATTAAGGCTGTCGTCTGTCTAGGCTATTAGCATGATTTTCCCCGAACTTCAGAAAGTAGTTTATGTGTGTAAGTATACATAGCATGCTATAGTTGGGGAAAAATAGTCGACTTATAAAGAACGAAAAATTTCACATTTTACAAATGATATGTGTTCGATGTTGCGGAAAAAGCTGAAATTGGCACAAAATATGTCAAATAGTAATAGTTATTTATATTTAGTTTTATATTATGTTATTAATTTGATTGCGCTTTTAAAAATGAGAAGTAATAACTATAGAGACCATGCTAAGTAACAAAGAGGAAAATAAAGGTAAGCAATTTAAGAAAACATAAGTTCTCGCGTTTATAAAATATTATATCTTTGTGCATATGTTTGTAACAGGCAAAAGAAAACGAGATAGACGCATAGTTCCTTTTGAGAATATGCATAGAATCACTTTCTGAGTCGATTTATGCATGTCCGTCCGGTGAAATTTCGGTGCCGGTTCCTTAATGGTCTTGGGGGAATTTTTATAGCGACGGAATGCTTGATTTGGCATTTCATAGTTGCCGGATAAATTCAATAGTGTACGTTCAAGTCTTTGAAGACAAATTATTACATTCGGGGAAAGCAGCAACGATGAAGTACCCGTTTTTCAGCAGGACAACGCGCCATTTCATAAAAGTCGCCATACATTAGAATGGTTAAAATAAAAAATATTTAAAGTATGAACTGGTCCGCATGTTCTTCCGACCAAAATGTGATCAAGAACATAGGGGGAATCTTAACTCGTCGTGTCTATGCGGAAAACCGCCAATGCCAGACTGTTTTTAACCTCAAAGAAGTAATAATCGATAAATGACGGTCAATCGACGATGATTTGCAAAAAAATTGATAGAGAGTATGATGGATAGAATTTTTGATCTTATTCAAAATAAGGGAGGACCTACCCATTATTGATTAATGTTATGTTATTTTATTTAAGGTTTTAATAATAATTAATTTTGTAAAAGTATGCAACATCAATAAATTTAAGGTTGCAGAATTAGGCGAAACCATAAAGAATAAATCAATTATTTTTGTTGTTTATTGTTTACAATAACTTAATGGGTCCATTTTATTTGTCAACTAATATACCAATTGAATTAAACATTTCATAAGAAGTCGACTTAGCCGACTACCATAATACCATATTTATTGAAAATGAAAAACGGCCAAAATGACCTCCTTCGGCAATCTAGAGTTAAGAATCTTATTTTCTTCATGTATCGTCCAATATATTTTTGTATTTGATATGGATGTCTTGATCTGTAATGAGAAATATTGGATAAAGACCATAACAGTAAAATCCGCTTTACACCATTAACCATAGCTATTGAAGAATGCACCCATCAACAACTTTATTGATTCCGAAGAAGAGAAACTTTTTTGTTAACGATTCTGTTATTTGGCTGTCCCAAGACTTCTTCGATGAGTTAAGGTGAACTGGCATTTCAGGTATTTGACTGATATCACTACTTTTTGTCATTATTCCTTACTTTCTTTTCTCTCCAGGACAATAATGCTTATTTCGACTCGTAAATCAAAAAAATATATATGTTTGTTTCTTAAAAATGTTAGAACAGTTAAACCAATCTTTAAAAAAATTAGATATATTAGATTTTGCAAGTTCTGTATTTATGCAAAAATTTACATTACACAGAATTAAAATAAATACACATTTTACTAAGAGGATCTCCCATAGAATAATTTGTGCTAGATCGAAAATAAACATTTATTCTAATAGATGTTCAACATAATACGTCTACTTTTTAATGTAGGTAATCGATTTAATTTTAACCTGCTAGTGTAAGAATGCAACACAAAATCACTATTCCAATTTAAAGTAGAAATTGATTCTGCATATATTCAGTTTTATCGGAATATATTGCATATTGTGAGCATACAATACAACAGAGCCATATTCTAAGATATGTAAAAGGTTTTTCTGTAATGTTGAGATCAGAGACTTAATAAATCGTTTTATAAATCCTAAGACACCGTGAGCCTTGTTTTTGTATACTGTAGTGGATATGATTTAAGGGAACCCCACCCATTCTGGATTTTAATTTTTCAAAATTTTCAGTGGGCTGGTAAATCAATACCAACGCTTGTTAAGGTTTGTAACTTTGCACATATATATATTTGAAGATTTAAAAGAGAAGAAAAATAATTTACAAAAATTTTTTGTTATTGCTTTGTTGTTGTTTTTTGTAATTAAAGAAAAGTTCTTATTTTTAATGCGGGCATGATAACTCCCCACTGGAACATCGGAATCGGAAAATTCCAACGGTGTTAGAAAGAGTACATTTCTGGCTCTCGTATGAACTAGGATTAAAATTAACAAAATGGCGGACCTTTGAAAAAATATTTTTGGAAAATCGCCGATTTGTGACCAAAAAACCAAGTTAAAAAATAAGGATGATCTTCACCGATTGGCTTTATCCTAGTTCATACGATAGCTATACACTCACAGAGAAACGTGTAAAAATTTGGAATCGATTGGGTAATTAGTTCTTGAGTTATCATGCCCGCCATTCGCAAAAGAGAAAAACGAGTTTATAGTTTGAGAAGCCCTTTAGCCGTCACTTGATGCTAACAATAAATCGGCTATATCTTCAAGAGTTCTTGAGATTTTCACTTGAAATTTTTGTAGAGACATTCTTGAATTAGTGTACAATCGAATTAAATCCAAAAAAAAATGTTGATCCCGAGAATGGGGGGTCCCCTTAATTTGCATAGTCAAGTTCATGGTTAACACTGTCGGTTTGATTAAAACTAAAATATCACATCATCCCCATTGAATTGATAATTAATCCATAACGAATATTCTCTATAAAGATTGACACACAAATATTCATTCTACCCACTTTCAGGTTAATGAGAGCCATGAGCGAACACACACGTCTAAACCCAAATCGACGTATTGATCGCTTGCGAGCTTTCAATACGCGTCTCCAGAACTCCAAGGAAAGCATGGATGTGCTGGCGTCGTGGAATATGCAACTAGACAAACATTTGGTTGAAATTCCTGGACGTATTTTACCACCCGAAAGGATTGTTTTCGGAAACCAGAGGAAGTATGTTTGCGACCAAAACGCCGATTGGACAAGAGAATTTAGAAATACAACAATGTTTTCTCATGTCGACATTAAGCGTTGGTATGTCATCGTTGCACGCCGTAATTTACGTGAAGTTCAAGAATTCGTTAAGCTGTGCATTCGTGCTGCTGGATCAATGAAAATGCATATCTCCGAACCTAGATAGTGAGTCTTGTTACACTACGCAAGTGTACAATATACTAAGATATGTATTACATTCCATTCCAGTGACGAGATGCCGGATGATCGAAATGGCTCATATTCAACTGCAATAGACCGAACGACATCCCAAGATCCTCAAATATTGATGTTAGTTCTACCAAACAATAATGAAGAAAAGTAAGTTAATGAAGTATATTTGTATGCACATCAAAAAATGGCCAGCCCGAACTAATGTGGGCGTACATTTTTACTGGTATTTGAAGAAAGTGGTTCACTCTAAGAATTACGTGTTGTGCCCCTTTTCCTGTAATAATAATAATTACTAAGGTTGATAGTACATGACTAAATGTTCTTTGGGAAACTAATATTATATTTCATATTATATGGTTGGGAGAGCGAACAACGTTCATCTGTGCAATGCGTTACAACTGTAATTTTGACTGTTTTTCTTTTAGGTATGCTTGCATAAAGAAGAAATGCTGCGTGGACAGACCAGTGCCTTCCCAAGTCGTCACCCTAAGAACAATCGCCCCACGTGGCGATAAAGCATCTGGGTTGATGTCGATTGCTACCAAAGTGGTTATTCAAATGAATGCAAAATTAATGGGTGCTCCATGGATGATAGATATGCCTTTAAGCGGATTGATGACGGTGGGATTTGATGTATGCCATTCTGCCAAAGAAAAAAATAAGTCATATGGTGCTCTAGTTGCTACTATGGATATGAGAGTATCAACAAAGTATTATTCAGCTGTCACCCAACACCTAAAGGGGCAGGAATTATCGAACGAAATATCATTGAACATGACGTGTGCCTTGAAATCATATCGTGCTGTTCATGGAACATTGCCAGATCGTATTCTTTTCTATCGAGACGGTGTAGGAGATGGACAGTTACATCAAGTTTTTAATACTGAAGTACAATTCCTTAAAAAGAAATTGGACGAAATTTACAAATCTGCCGGCAAAGAAGATGGATGTCGTCTAGCTTTTGTCGTTGTATCTAAACGAATAAATACTCGTTACTTCGTCAATGGCAGAAATCCTGATCCAGGCACGGTCGTCGATGATGTTATTACTCTTCCCGAACGATACGACTTCTTCCTCGTTTCACAATCTGTCCGCCAAGGAACAGTATCGCCAACAAGCTACAATGTAATTCACGATAATATGGGCCTTAGTGCAGATAAAATGCAAATATTGACTTATAAAATGACGCATTTGTATTACAATTGGTCAGGCACACTGCGAGTACCTGCAGTTTGTCAGTATGCACACAAATTGGCATTCCTTGTGGCCGAGAGTATTCACCGTGCTCCTAGTAATGGCTTGGAAAATCAGTTGTATTTCCTATAAATTACAATTATCACTAAACCCATGAAATAATGCGGCCTTATATATCTATGTATATATATATATATATGTATGTATATATATATAGAAAGTATGTTTCTTTCCATTTTACTATATGATACTCGCAATGGGTGTATTAAATAAGCTTATCATATTGATGCAGTCTTTGCTGTTTTTATGTACACTGAAGTTTTTCTTGTTGTTACCTGCACGTAGGGGAGATCAGTTTTAAAAATCTCCAGAATATTTTTTTTATTATATGGACAAATACAATGAATGGATTAATTAAAATACTTTTTTATATGTTATTCTTACTCTACATATTTATATGTACTTATCGTTTAATGGTAAATAAAAATGTAACAATGAATTGAAATAAAATGTAACAATATAACCACAGGTTTTTGTTCTTTATATATCACGTATTCCACAAAAACGTCAACTACATGGCAAAATTGCCTATAAAACTTATAAATAAAAAAATATATTTTATAATATAAATAAAATATATTTTGTTCAATTTATTGAAAATATGCCAATCGACACACATAAAATTTTATGGCATTTATTTTTCATATTATTTAAAATTAATATGTGAATTCCATATTGAAAAGTGTTGACACTATCAAATTATCAAATGAGGCTACCTTCCATAAATATGGCCATGGCATAACTATACAAGGTAGTCTCATTTGAGAAATTGATAATGACAACCCATCTTAATGTGGAAGTCATATATCAATTTCAAATAAAATGAAAAATAAACTCCATAAAATGTTACGCATGGCAATTGGCAAATTTTCAACATATTAAAAATATATTTTTTTTTCTAAAGCTCTACATTGTTCTCAAGATTTAACTAAGAATGTTGCAATTTATATTCACCCCTATTCTGTATGTCGTCGTCGACACGAAACGACGTCGAAGAGAGTCGTCTTTTGCAAATTGGTATTCCCTACGTCGTTGTCGACATTTATCGATAACTATTGAAACATTTTTGGTATTCCGTAACAATGTGTGACGACGACGATGTCGAAGATTTCTTCGTCATAGTTTTTGTTGACGACTGAAGCGTTTGAACATTTTTTTTTTTTTGAAATTAAAAAAAAACATGACCGGACAAGAACAGGATATATCATTCTAGAATCTATTCAATACTTAATGCAAAATAAAGTGTAAATAAAGAAAAATATATGGGATCTATATATAAATCTAAACCGATTTTGACCAATGTCAATAGGACTCGTCTATGTGGAAATAAAATTTCATCCCAATTGGATGTATTTTTTCCAAATATCATCCCGTTCGGATCATAATGGTGGCATGTAATTAAAATAATACATGAATGGAGGGGCATGCATAAATCGACTGAAAAATAATTCTATGTACATATCAAGGTATATATATGTCAAAAATATTTTGCCAAAACAAACAGATTGACAAGATTTTTTTTAAAAAAATTCTTGTATAAAATGTTAATAAAAGTATTGCCCAAAAAGCTCTTCGAAATTCTTTTCATCAACATTACAACAACATTTTTGACTTCTTTTTATTAAATATACCTTGCATACTATATACTAAAAAGTAACTATGTTGCAAACACATTTACCAAGACATAATGCCCTGTGCCACAGTGCGGTGAAGGATACAAACACATTTTTGCCCAAAAATATGCAACACAATTTTTGTTTTTATTGATATTATCGATAAATAGTCGACATCGTCGCATGCAAGATCTATTAATAAGGTCACCAAGATAGCAATCGAAATCGGAAAACAGCTGTTTTCTCAAGTCTAATGTCAAAATTTTCGACTTTGTTTGCGTTTTCATAATGGAAGTAAATTCACAAAAATGCATTTTGACAGCAAACTTGACAGGTATCGATAATCAGCTGGTCTCCCTTGGGGACCTTATTTATAGGCCATGGTCGCATGAGTGTTACAGAATACCAAATCAGTGTCGAAGTGATGTCGATGCGAAGTAATGTCGAAAGAGAAACGTCGTCGACAACGACGACGACATACGGAATAGGGGTGATTTATAAGTTTTAAAGGCAGGGTACTTAAAAATATTAATATATATAAATGATTCAAAAATATTTCGAAGGAAGATATTTTCGTTTATATTTTGAAAGCTGAATGTTGTCAAAAGCAAATTTATGAAAAAATTGGAAACATATGACTGACCTTGTATAGTATGTATGCCATGAAACAGTATGTATGCCCATAAGATTTTGGTGATTTTTCCTGTCCCTCAATATCCCAAAGGGGTTTGTGGATCTCATGCGGTGTGTTGTGTCCGGTGTCTATCCACTCGTCCATTGCTTTAAGTCTTAAAGCTTCAACCGCCGCTTCGCTTATTTAGATGTCTATTGGATATTTTTCTATACATGTAAACATTTTTCGATCAATTTAAAATTTTTTTCTTCCATTTTCGCCGTTTTCAATTGGCACAGATGCAAATAAAGTCTTTGGGTAATAGGGTAATACGGACTTCCAACAAACCCTATAAAGGTGAGTATTTTTGTACGGAGCGCAATAAATTAGGTACGACCCTTTCATGGCATAACTATACAAGGTAGTCTCATGCAGACATAATTTCATAATTTTACTTTTGACAGCATTCAGCTTTCAAAATTTAAATAAAAATATCCTCCTTCGAAATGTGCGCACAGCACGTGTTCAGTTACAATTATAGGTGTGTCTGGTTACTTTTCCAGTAACATTTATTCAGTAAGTTCTAGTTTAGAGAGTGAACCTTTCTTACACTCTTTTGCGATAATACTGAAAAAAGTAAACAGACAACATTTAGTAAGATTTAGCAAATAAACAGCTGATTCAAGAAAAGGACGAACACAATTATTTGTATTGCATTTAATATTAAAAATAAAATGAATAAAAGAAAAATTGATCTGGTGTGTTCCCCGGGAACAATTATATATATATAGAAAGTATGTTTCTTTCCATTTTACTATATGATACTCGCAATGGGTGTATTAAATAAGCTTATCATATTGATGCAGTCTTTGCTGTTTTTATGTACACTGAAGTTTTTCTTGTTGTTACCTGCACGTAGGGGAGATCAGTTTTAAAAATCTCCAGAATATTTTTTTTATTATATGGACAAATACAATGAATGGATTAATTAAAATACTTTTTTATATGTTATTCTTACTCTACATATTAATATGTACTTATCGTTTAATGGTAAATAAAAATGTAACAATGAATTGAAATAAAATGTAACAATATAACCACAGGTTTTTGTTCTTTATATATCACGTATTCCACAAAAACGTCAACTACATGGCAAAATTGCCTATAAAACTTATAAATAAAAAAATATATTTTATAATATAAATAAAATATATTTTGTTCAATTTATTGAAAATATGCCAATCGACACACATAAAATTTTATGGCATTTATTTTTCATATTATTTAAAATTAATATGTGAATTCCATATTGAAAAGTGTTGACACTATCAAATTATCAAATGAGGCTACCTTCCATAAATATGGCCATGGCATAACTATACAAGGTAGTCTCATTTGAGAAATTGATAATGACAACCCATCTTAATGTGGAAGTCATATATCAATTTCAAATAAAATGAAAAACAAGTGAAAAAGCGGTAAGTTCGGCCGGGCCGAACTTTGGATACCCTCCACCATAGATATATTGACAGGTACTAGAAATGAAAATATAGGGAACATACCAAAAAGTGGACCTATACCGACATTTCTAAAAACGGATTATGTAAACCATAATTAAAAATTTTAGAAAATATTAAAGGATAATTATACTCTCAGCCTTATGGCTAATGAGGGTGTATAGACTTTAACACGGTGAAAATGTGTCTCATCGAAATATTGGTTCTAGACCCCATGTTTCTTTGGACCAAATCCGTTTCAGAAAATTTAGATTTCATCCAAACTTTGCCCATCTTATTATTTCTTCCAAGCTTAGTTCAAATTCTCGAACTTCCAATCAGGGGCTAGGTCTAAATGCGGCTATAGTTAATTATCGAACCTTACGTTCTAATTGTTTATCTCTCTATCCTCCGCAGGTGAAATGATTACAAAAGAGACTTAGAACCAAACTCAAAACGCGGAACAAATCAGATAACTATTTTAATATAAAAAAGGGGGTTATATGGGGACTACCCCAAAAAGGGGGTGAATATTAAAAATTTTTGGTAGAGAGATTTGTTACCATATACGACTACAAATTACCAAATTGCAGCAAATTCGGTTGAAAAATGCGCTCAAGAACCCCCAAATACCGAAAATTGGGGGTACCCTTATATGGGGGCTATCCGAAAAAATGGACCAATATTCATAATTTTTGGTGGAGAGATTTGGAACCTATTAGGAACCCAATGTACCAAATTTCAGCGTATTCGGTTGAAAAACGCGCTCAAGAACCCCAAAATTCCGAAAATTGGGGGGTACCCTTATATGGGGGATATCCGAAAAAATTCACATATGTTTATAATTTTTTGTGGAGAGATTTGGTACATATTAAGAACTCGAAATACTAAATTATAGCCAATTCGGTGGAAAAATACAATCAAAACCCCCAAAATACTGAAAATTAGGAGGTACCGTTATATGGGGGCTACCAAAAAAAAGTGGACCTATATTTATAATTTTTTGTGGGGACATTAAGTACCCAATAAGAACCCAATGTACCAAATTTCAGCGTATTCGGTTGAAAAACGCGCCCAAGAACCTCAAAATACCGAAAATTGGGGGGTACTGTTATATGGGAGCTATGTCTAAACGTGGACCGATATATCCTATCTTCGAACTTGACCTGCCTGCAGACAAAAGACAACCCTATGCAAAATTTCAGCATCCTATCTCAATTCCTTCAGAAGATAGCGTGATTACAACAGACGGACGGACGGACGGACATGGCTAGATCGTCTTAGAATTTTACCCTGATCAAGAATATATATACTTTATAGGGTCGGAAATGAATATTTCGATGAGTTACAAA